GCCTACTTAAGTACATGACCATAATCCATTGATGGACGCCAATAACAACGTAACTAGAACAGTGCAATAACGAATACAACTGAGCGTGCCAACTCCTTTCATTTTCGATTACCGTCCGAGGGCTCTTTGCCCTTGCGGAATGTGACATTAAACGAAATCTCAAAGTTTCGTTTATCAAATATTCGAGCAAGGTTGTCGAACATGCTTGGCAAACTGTCAACTGCCTCATTAGTACTTGTCCCTCCGCTTGCTTCATCAGCTTTTACCCAGTCAAAGAATCCACAATCAGAACAGCAAGTTTTGAATAGACGTCCTTTGTTTTTGCCCTCCTTTTCAACCTCGAAACAATTATGGATACCATCTACACACCACGGACAACGGCGTTTTCTATTGCACTCTTCGAACAAATGATATGTACTTTTACAACTGTGACAAACACCATAATTCCTAACCCTCATCCTACATGGGAAACAAACATCAATTACAAATTCACGTTATCATCAGGTCACTCAATCCAAAATCCTAGAAACATTAACGACTATTTGATGATAATTTCAAACTGCCCCGTCGAACTCACAAGTCACTGAATACAATTGCATAAAGAAACCAGTGGAATACAATTACTGAAACACTGGCTGAACTCACATGTCGAATTGCTACAAATCTAAACTTCAAATTTAAGAAAAAACTATTTCAACAAAACATAAAACACTAATATTAGCTTATACTAACCAACAAATCCACTAAAACAACACGCATAATTTTAAAAAAAATTGATAACTAAGTCAATTAATTTCAGAACTGAGAAAAATCATATAGCTTTTACAAAAATGGGCATCATCCTTTAAACTAATTTTTCATTCAATGAATCGCTTATTTTCGTCATTTGCAACTGTCAATACAAATCGTCGTCGAAATAAAAAATTCTTACCTTCCTATAATGCTATGAATTCGATAATGTGTTCGATCAATGATGTTGACAAAAGCAACCGATTTCGGGTCTGTGAAGAGTTTATGGGAAGTCGCAACCAGTAAAGTAAAGGAAAGAAAGTGGAGAAAGGGAAGGTGAAAGAAGGAAAGTGTTTTAGTGGGGATCATTTGGGTTAGACGAGGTTCAATTTCACGTGTTCATTTTCCTTCCTTCACCTTCATTTTCTCCACTAAAACACTTTCCTTCCTTCACCTTCATTTTCTCCACTTTCCTTCCTTCACTTTACTGGCTGTGATTTCCCATAAACTCCTCACAGACCCGAAATCAGTTGCTTTTGTCAACATCATCGACCCAACACATTACCTAATCCATAGCATTATAGGAATGTAAGAATTTTTTATTTCGACGACAATTTGTATTTGACAGTGGCAAATGACAAAAATAAGCGATTCATTGAACGAAAAATTAGTTTAAAGGATGATGCCCATTTTTGTATTAAGTCAATAATCACCCCATTCATACAAAGTTCATTAAAGCATTTAGATACGACGGTACGTCCCATTATTATGAACAAAAAAGGATGCACTAATATAATGAGAAAGAATTCATCTTTTTGTAAAGTTTACCTTTAGATTCCATCTTTCAAAAATCCCAAACTCTTGCACGAAATTGTACAATTAAAATCCAAAAATTCATATTTCCTTCCATATAAATGTTATCAAAATTTAATCTTTTAACCTATCTCGATCAACTAGAGTCACAATTATCATTTAGGTGCATGTTTTGGGACACTCATCGTGAAGGACTCACCATATCAAACAATTCAACTTTAACTACTAAAAAATTTTACATACTTTCTAAGTCTTAAGTTTAAAATAAAAATTAATGTATTAATCAAAGTAAAAAATAAATGTAACTTTCTTTGGACACTAGAGTTGGAATTATTCAAAAATATACTCTTTTCCAAATAGAAGTAAATAAATTAATTGAAAATGAAAAGGCCAAAAAAAAAAAAAAACACGCACACACACACACACAAGTTCAACGAAAGGACAGAAAAAAAACAGAAAAATGCAGACGAAAAAATAAAATAAATAAAAAAATCACGAAGTATGAAATTTGCCTCTGTTTATGATATATTCAGGTTTTGTAATGCCAAAAATAAAAATAAAAAATTACATAATATTAATTAAAGGGAAACTCAATAATAAAAAAAAGAAATAAGAGACAAAAGATCGGAGAATCAGAAATCTCGTGTGGAAAGTGCCGCTCACTGCATCGCCTGATTTCAATGGTTGATGCTGCGTTTGCACGAAGCAGAGATTTTCATCATTTTTTTCCAAAATCAATACACTGTAAAAGTAAAAAATATTTAGGGTTTAAAATTAAGAAAATGAGAGGGCGAATATAGATGGAGAAGAGGGGCTTGAAGGAGTCCCTTTTATAATGGCGTTGCCCTAATTGGCTCTCTTCCAAGAAGGGGGCCGTATTCCCGGGTCAATAGTTTGAACCCGGAAAAACGATTCGTTAGACTTATGATTTAGGGAAAATAGCTGCGGAGGTCCCCAGTCATGTACATGTGTTCCATATAAATCCTCAATCTTCAAAAGGTAACTTTTAACTCCCCACTCTTTCATTTTCTTAGCTCTTAGACTTGGGTCCATATTAAACAATTTTACCTTGTCTTGCGTTAACGAACTATTTTTTCAATGAAAACACTATTTCACCCTTCCATGTAAATAAACAAAATTTAAATGAAAAAAAATAATAATAATAAAGAAAAAAGGGTTCTTCTACCTTCCACTCTCGCCTCCTATCCAAATCACTACTAGGACTATTCGGAGGGAACCGTCGTATCCAAATATAATTAGGGAACTGTTCGGGTACGGTTCCATACTATAATTAATTTTTTTTAATATTTACAGCAACACTATATAAATGCAACTAATGATATTTCATTCTTAATTTTTACAAATTAACGTAACTCAATTCAAAAACATATAAATAACTAGCCGTCCAATAAGATTAATTCAATGCATACAAATATCAAAAAGTAATTATTAATATTACAATAACATTACATAAAGTAAATTCATTTGCTTCAAACAGTCTGTATGTATAAAGAAAATGAAATATAAATTAAAGTTATAAAAATAAAATATTTTTAAATATTGGTAATACTTACCAACTATTTATTTAATTAATTTGCTAATTTGTTTAAAATAATAATAATTTAATTAATTCAATAAAAAAAATATTTAGTTTCGGTTCTTATTTGATTCTTCGATTTTTGGTCTAGAAGCGAGACTTGACCTAAATCCACCGGTTCTCGATTTCGGTACCCGTTCGGGTATTTAATTTATGAAGAACTGCTCGATTCTGTTCCCGTTCGGATCGGGACTTTTGGACACCCCTAATCACTACAATCATCATTAATCACTTTGATGCGGGGTTAGGGAAGAAACTATTTTTTTCATTGTTTTTCATGCAATTAATTGTTAATGAGAAGATTAGGTAAAATTGTCTTTTAAATATTAACCTTACTACATGCATAAGGAGAATTGTCAGACTACATTATAGGGGAATAGGTGGCGCATATTCATTGGAATTTTCATTCCCCACTTGTGAGTCGAATTTGAGATTAAAGTTTTGGGGCCTTACAAACATTTTTTCATGAACGCCGCGTGCATAATTGTCCTTTTCTTGTAATTAATCTTCTCTAATGTTATACTTGGTTTCTTACGAAAACGAAGTTATCTTTCAGTAAGTCGCAACAAGATTTTACAACTTATTTTCTAGAGTGAACATGGAAGTTGCTTCTTTAGAAAAACGAGATCAATATGGTTGCCGTGGTTGGGGATTTTAATCTTTGCTTTAGTTTTCCCCTTTCGAGAACTTAAATTTGGGCTGTAGTAATATCCACCTATTCTACTTGTGTTACTAATTGAAGATTTTAAAATATTTGGCCGGAAATATATTCAAATTCACAAAATTAATTAAAATTTATAATCTTTTAAAATCCATAGAAATTTCAATCAACAACACCCCTTTATTTGTAATTTGCAGCCGTTTCCACGCTATTTTTAAAGATATTGCAGACATGCTAATGGAAGTCAAGTCCACGTAGGACTGTCAAAATGAGCAGGCCCATATAAGCTGTTAATTTTTACTTTTTTGGAAATTTAATGCCAATTGAATTAAGGATATCGTGGGAGAGAGGTGAAATTATGTGAAAAAGGTCAAAGAGAAACATAAGTAGATAGTCGACATTATTGATATCTTTTCTTAAAAAATAAAAAACCATATTAGAATTTAGAAAGGAAGACTTTAGGGTAATTTCAACCTTAAAAATGATAATTTTGAAATGGATAAATTCTTTTTTTCTCGTGCCAAGAAATTCTCAATCTTTACTTATTATTGCATTTATATCCTCAACGATTTTTCATATCATTTTTATACTCAAACTTTCCATTAGTTATCATATTTTGTATTTGATAACAATTTATGTTCAAAAAGTCATATAACTTGTTCTTCACATATTCGTTCTCCAATCTCTCAGCTCTTAGTTTAATGACTTGGACAATATAATAACCAAGATTGAGCCTTTTTTTTTTCTTTAGTATCCAATATTATATATTACACCTAACCAAATAAGCCACTAATCGTCTCAACGTGCTAAGGGGTTCAAGTCCACCGACTGTTTCTCTTGATAGAAAGTAGGTCACTATATATTGATCCTTCTCCCTAACCTCCTAGCAGAAAATAATAGTCTTTGTCAATGTGGCAATATCCCATGATATCAAAGATAAACATTTAAAGCACCAATGGGGTTCAATAAGGACAAAACAATCTTCCTATTGATAACTAATTAGAACACGTTTGGTAGACAGATATATAATAATTTTAATTTCTTTATCTTCTTCAATACTATCGAGTGGGTGGTGTCCTAATCCACCTTACTAAACGCACCATTAGTGCATAAGAATGCATGTATAAGATGAAGAATAAAATTTAATGTCACATAATTAGTAAAAAGATGAAATATTGTACTCTCCTTATGGTGGGATCGTCAAGTAAGTGGCGCACGACATTTTCCTTTTCTCCTTCCACCTCCCATGCTCAGTTTGGTAAGTCGCTCTTCATAAGAAGCTGGGACATTCAAGCAATAGTGGATATCAAACGTGAGTACTAATGTATGGCACAGTGAATGTATATCAAGTTAAAAGAAATTGAAGGAGCAATACAGTTCCATTCTACTTTCAAGCACATTAAGCAATAGAGATTCTTGAACAACAAACAAGGTTGACATAAAAAATTTAACATGTCTTTTGGAGAAACGTGCAAGTTGGTAAGCTAAATGCCATCCGAAATTTGAGAAAAAGCATAGCAATCACAGTTCCTTAGTGCGTAAAAGGGCACTAATTCCTTGAGAAGAAAGACGCAGATTTTAGTTGTTCAAGGCCTGAAGACAAAGCTAATATAGACTAATATAGAGGCTATTGTCCCCAGCAATTAAGGCGTGCAGTGACTGAAATTGCAGTATTAATATTTATATAGTACAGATTCACAAAGAAATTGAAACTAACTTTACAAGAATTAGGAAACCATTCCAGATTCTACTCTATGAATTAAGAATAAGATTTACAGATAAAGGAAATTACGGATAGCAAGAATCTGTCAAATAATTATGTACAATCTCAAATCCTTTTGCTTCCAAAGTCAACCAAGTTCTAAGGATCCACCAACAGCTTTTGCCTCAGTCAGAACATTATTATATCTATGATAAGAAGTCAAAATGACTTTATATTGGATTCCATGTATTGCAAAGTGTAGATGTGTTCATTGTACTTTCGTAAGTTTAGTTAACCTCATCCGCATGAGTAGAAATGTAGATCCATTCACTATACTTTCATAAATGTAATAAACATTAGGATAATTTATATGGCAAAGGTACTTTAGTATCTTTCGAAGCAGTAAGTTGAACATTGTAATTCTTATATTCAGTTATTCACCATTAGACTATGTTTAGGTCAATAAATTACCAAAGTTGACTTTAGTCTAGGATGGGCCACCTTATAACATAAGCAACAACACATTTTGAGCCATCTGCTTGAAATTCAAGATGACCTAAGTTTCACGTAACACCATTTGCATGGGCACAAGCAAAATACCTATGTCATATGTGCCATGTAAGAGTTGCAAGAGTACGTTAAAGATATTTACTCACGCTCTGTTGCTCGTAACATGAGGGGGATGTGAGAAGATTCCTTCTTTTTCGTTATCCTATTTGGCAGACTGTCATCTGCAGTTAAGAAGTTCTCTTAGAGAATCGTAGATGAGGTGGAAGGAGAAGCAAAGCTATAAGCTTTAACATAGGATGACGCACCAGTTTGATCACAAAAACATTGCAGTGCCTGGTGAAAGATTGCTGCTTGGAGTTTGTAACTTCGACATTCCTTCTCCAGGTGTGCCTGAAGAGCTTGCCTAGCTTCTGTATTAAACTCATGAAAACACTACGAAATTAACCAATCAGCATCCAAAAATATACAACTACAGAAGCAAATTTAGCAAGGAACTAATGAAACCATTACTAGCATTATTGAGCATTTAATCAACTTAGTTGAACTCTACAAGCAAAAAGAGAGGGATAGCAAGCTACAACCCGCTAAAAATGAAAACACATGCCATATCCAATGATCTAGAATAACAACAATAGCAGAGAAGAAAACTACTGAGAGTCCGTGACTATGTAGGTTCCGTTCTATAATCTTAGCGAGTTTCCTACTGCATTAAGATAAAGAGCTAGTCATCGTAGTATAATTCCACAACATTCTATGTGTTCAAGAGCAAGTGACTGGAAGCAAGATACAAATCCACAAGTAATGTTCGCTACTAACGGAAGCCAAGGTCAAGCACTGTTAGAAAGGGAAGTATTATTCAGGCGTTGTAATTTAGTAAAGACATACCTGATGAGCAACTGAATTTGAGACCTTCAAATTCACAAGACTGAAGAACCAGAGGAATTTCTGGAGCCATCTTGTATTGAGGTTTCCTTGGTGCTCTTTCAATATCCAGTAACACGTCTATCACCTAAAAATTGAACACGTGATCTTAAGGTCTTCTAAAACACATGACAACTGAATCTTGAGAACACACCCTTAATAATAAACTACAAATATTTTCATAAATGAATAATTCCAGAAAAATGAAGATACTTTTGATAGAATAATATGAGAAATTAACAGATAATAGCACTAAGATGCTCAAGACCAATTCATTTATTAGCTGTACTTGACCACGGAGTATTATTTACTGCTTGAATTCATCATTCTGAACCTCATAAATCTCAAAGCAAAATACTGAATAGCATAAACTGGATAATGACAACTTATGAAATCCGTTTACGTGCAAGAATTTGGTACAATGTTTAAGCATGTTAAAATAAGAAACTTGATGACAAAAAGTGAAATGTCCTTGACATAACTGTCATATAAGGTGAATGTTGTCTGTTAGATGGGTTTAAATATCCTCCAAAATATTGTTGACTAAAATGCCATTTACGAGTGTGTAAAATCAAACAAAAACTGATATTGAGATAGAATATTTTTAAACATTTCGAAGGTAGAAACTACGCATGATATTAACCATTGTCAACAGCCTAGTATCTTCTTAAAACTACTTATGGGCAGCTTCATCTAACATCCAAGTATAAACAGCAATCTTTTAATTGTTCTGGACAAGTTGACAACTAAACAACTAAAATTTTATGATGGCGAAAACTTCCACCTTTTCCAGTAGGTTAAAAATATATCAATTGAATAATACTTTAAATTAAAAATTTATTTAAAACATTGTCACGCACATTAGGGGATTCAAGACCCTGGCCAATAAAAAATAGTACAGCAACCATGCATCGGATCTGATGCCACAGGAAAGCACTACCTTTGATTTGCACCACCCAGAGATGATCACCTAAAAATCTGTGTAAAATTAGAAGCAATGAACATTAACTGATATTTGCAAATCAATACTTATTTACTAGGACATTTACTGCATCATACTCAGCATCTACTAAATTTTCAAAACTAAACTCTCTACAGATCAGAAGATAAAAAGCTAAAGAAAATGTTTATCAGATAGGTGTCAAGACCTATGGTCCAAGATGACCAGCAGTGGACATTGTACCGGCATAAACAAAAAGCATTGGTGCAGCCACGACTAAAAGCAGAACACTGTACGAACTGGCAGGGCGAATGTAATTTTCAGCTCTTTTTCTCAGGCAACACCTATATATCTGTGACTAAAATCAATGAATATTTGCAATTTGGTCTTCCGTTCAGACAGGTAAACCTATGCCAGGCCAACAAAACTAATAAAAATTGTAAATTGAGTTTTTTGTTCATCTTGAGCAGTCATGTCAGAGTACCCTTGTAGTGTACATGATACCTTTTCTTCTATTCAAGTACATTTGATCTCAGAGACCTTGTGACTGGCATAACTCGAGATGATTTTATCAAGAGCTAAAAGAAAAATATTTTAGTCATGTGCAAGAATCAGAAGCTGAAGTACTTTCTTCAAAAGTCTCAACCATGATATTTCTTGCTTTCCTTTAACCTTGCTCTTCAAAATTACTTCACTTACTAAAGAAACGTGTCAATTTTCTAAACATAGGAGTTCATACCGGAATTTCTGAACTATTAGAAGAAACTATTTGATATCTTGATGATTATTTTAACTTCAGGAAAACGGTCAAAATTTCTATGTTAAGCAGTACATCTAGGTAATGATGACAAAATTTTAACTAATTCACCCAAACCTAGGAAAATAAACCAAGTGTGCAATTCCCTTTTTCTTTTTTTTCTTTTTTTTGGTGGGGGTGGGGGAGGAACTGAACATATAGAAGTTGGCACTAGAAAAAGATATCATCTACTACTCCAGGTGAAAGGCAAGTTTACCAAACCATATGAGAAAATAATAATTAAAAAGGTTCAAGATACTACTACAAACCTTTCATCACAAGGAAAAATCTCAAATGATGTGATACGCCGCTTATAGTTGTGTACATTAGCAGCATCCATCTTACAGAAATTTCTGAAATCATGTTCCCCAACAAATTTCTTACCAGCAGTCTCCATTGCCTGCTCAAAAATGTTCAAGAATTTCACTTCTTCAAGATCATAGAGTAGCCAGGCAGTCACAAACATAAATATCTCGCATGTGTGAAAAGTGAAAACGGAACCAAAAGATTACTGAAATGTTCAAATTCTCTCTCCAAAAGAAGTACTTGTATTGCCTGCTCAAACAACTGAACCTGAAATATCAAATAAATTTGAAAGAACAAACATGAGCTACACAAATCTTTCACACCCATTTGTGAGATCAGTACTTCAACATCTGACTGGAGCGCATAAATTTAAGATTTTTAAGGTTTCTAGACCAATACACTATTGTCCAATTTTGCCTAAATGGATTTCGAAATGTTATCTTTCATCATTAATAAGTGACAACAAATGAACTTTGTTATCTTACTCTCACGATAAGCACTGACATTAAGTGCCACCTGAACCTGGCACAGCTAGATCAACCAATTACAAAAGATGTAGTTAGAAGGGACTTCTTTTTTACCCATTAAAGAAAAGCTTGTCTCCTGAAAAAGGTTAGACCTATGCGAGATGTACTGGTTTAGCTGTTTCTAGATGGATTTACTCTCTTGTGCACAACAGATTCACCCCATGGTTTCAAGGCTCAAAGATTTATTCAAACATGACTTGATCCTATGAAAAACATATAATTTTCTATACTTCTTTACAAGCATCAAGTTATGTAAGCTTCCGCCCACAAAAAAAGGGGATTCCTTCTCTCATTAAACAACTAAGATAATTCCACAAGGTGTCTACCGTCCAAGAAAAGAGATTAAATTTATGGAAAAAATACAAACCTTGCACTGAAATTAGTTGGAGCAGGAGACCAGCCAATAATTCGAATGTCTTCCGGAAGTACTCTGTTCAGCATCTTCACAAAGTCTATTTCTTCTACTTGCAAAAAAGAATAAAAAATACTCAAGAAAATGAATTTTTTAGCATATGGAAATTAAAAACATGCTCGCAGCATTATCAAAATTAATTTATTTAACACCTGATCCCATGTAATGCAAGAAATTAGAAATCAAAGACAGAACATTTATAAGTAAAATTTGAAGGCAAAAACTAGAATTTGCCTCAACATTAGTTAGCCCCTGTTGGGCTCCATTCTGAATAGATTTTGCGAAAAAATATATTTTGGAATAATTATTTTTTGGAGAATGTATAATTAAAAAATAAAGAAAAGTTTTGGATTTACGTGTAATATCATTTTATTGGAGAACATGTGGTTGAAAATAAGAAAGAGGTGCATTTTTTCGAAAATGGTGCCCAAACAGGGTCTTGATTTAAGACATTAACTTATTTGCAGTAGCCTAATTCAACTGAATTATATTTTTGTCAGTCAAACCTTTCGAGGTAGGGACATAATTTTCCATGTAAGTAAAGGATAAACAAATCAACATTAGAATCTTGTGAAATATATTGACTTATGATCTGAAACTCGTCACTTAATGATAACTAATGCTCAATATTGTGATATAAATACATGACAAGACAAAGAGGAGGCATACCACATAATTCTTTAGCAAAAGGTTCTACAGAATAATCATTGCTCGCTGCCGTTTCCTTACAATTTGATCGCAAAAATAGAGAGATCACCTGCATCAATCATTTTAGTTTTCGAGTGGCTTCTAATGATGTAGAAGGGAATACAAAAGAAACAACTGCAGGGGCATATGGTTAATTGTACACAGTAAGAGTTAGACGAAGAAGTGACCAATAAAAAAGAAATATAGTTGCCACCGTGAGGACGAAAGAAAAATGTTAGCCGTTGCTTGTGAATAGATTTGAGATAGTACAGAGTAATTTCAACTTTAAGGAAATTATAGGAAGTCATTATAAATTAGGACAGGACTTGAATAAAAGTCATACCAGCCCAATACAGATCTATATCAGCCAAACATGCTACACGTTAACATAAGAGCCACATTAAGCCAGATTTCTGCTAAGGTTTGTCCTAGGTTTTGTTTAAACAATGAATGCATGCTCAATAGCCAAAACACATGAATAAACAATAAGATTTTGGAAGATAAAATGTTATTGCATAATCTCATTTGAAAAAAACAAACAATATAGCAGCTGTAGCCATCAACTTACCTGCCCAACAGAGGAAACTCCCTTGTCTGTTCGGCCACATCTTGAATATTGCAGTTCCTTCTTGTCGCTGGATATCAACCTTGTCTTATGAAGGGCCTTAAAAATTTCCGACTTCACCAATACAAAATGGCCCAATTCAACTTCCATCCACATATGATGTTTGAACAATATTCACACAGCATCTTAAATCTTTAAAGTTCACAGAACAAGTTGTGTGAATCTCAGATGTAGAAACAGGCTATTCTATTTCTCCTTCAAAATTCATACATTGGAAGAGAATTATCACACTAATCTTAATAAGCACTCTCAATAATGAGCCTACTAGGGTTTAATGGTGTTTTACAAAAAAAAATACTAGCAAAAGAATTAGTGAACAGTAATAAACTAGATCATAGCATTTGTATGTGGTACATTTGGTCCCGAAAGCCTTAAAAGGGAACCACTACATTATTATCGATTCTAAACCTTATTAGTTGTATTCAAGAATTGCAAATGGCAGCCCACCCACCCAAAAAATGACTGGAAGGAAATAAGAAAAGCAAGAACACCTCAATGGTTGGATCCATCTGTGCCTCTGAAGCAAAACCATAAAACCTGCAGCAGAATGCAAGAAATTGCCACATTGGAGTCGAAAGGAAAAAAATGCAAGAAGACTCTATTAATCGTGAAGCATTCAACTACTTTATATAACTTTTACACTACTAATATAAAGTAGAGATCTGATTTACTCAAGTTTCCATCATTTGGTTACAATTTGAACTGATATACCAATCAAACCATCATTATGTACCTATGTGTAACATTCGGCAACACGAAATCATGATAACCTATGATCTCAAATTGGAAGTACACTGTGTACAGAGGCAATTTCTATTTTCAACCATGAAGCTCATTATTTTCAACTAAAGATCACTTTTTAAATAACAACATCATACCACCCAGTAACAATGCAATAGGAAACAAGCTTATCACTCAGATAGAATTTGTATACTAAGACCAAAAGTTTGTAAAATTCAAATCATGCATGTTTCTATGAACTTTCTTTCATTCCATAACTTCTATCATAATGTTTGAGAATTCTCAGGAAACGTAAAACTGCTTATAAAAAAGGGCACTCTTGCAAAAGTTTTTCTCTTTTTCCTTTTTTTTCCCCCACGTACAATGAATCAAAGAATAACAAACAAGTAAATATGATAGCTATCTTCACAATATTTACCTCTGACCAAAATACATTACTTTTAGAGCAACATATCGCTTTGGGAAGTGATGCAAGGTCTTTGTACTGCAACCTGAACAGAAAAAATGAAAAGAAAAATAAAAAACAGAACCACAGGAACTGTATTGAACATAATACACTGATGCCTACATCAAAGAGGAAAAACACCTGGAAGCGTCTTCTTTGACGGGTTCACAGTTATCTCATCATTACCATCTAATTTTAGGTTCTCCGTTATTTCGATCAAATGATCACTATCTAAAACTTGAGCACTAGAACTTTCTTCCTTCTGCACTATGAAAACCATGTATTAAAAAGTTCACATACATACAATGGCAAAAATAAGCATTCTCTTAATTGCAAATTGTTTCAGAGGACATTAATTACTTTTGTCAAAATCTCCACTAAAAAATATTAAATTAACAAATCAAATATTGCTAGGACATTCCATTCGCCAAAAGGGAGTAATTTATTGATTAATTATAATACATGGAAATAAATTCTTGTAAAAGACTATATTCCAAACCTTTTGGCAGCGGCAATTTGAGAGCAGAGCAGAGAACTTGGCATTCTCAGTCTCCAATTCCTGAATTATAGCGATTATTGAATAAAATATACTGTTTGAATTGTATAAAAAGATCAATTCTTGTAATAACTTTTGTCCATGAAAATTGGATACCTGGATTCTTTTCCGGAGAGACTCCAGCTGGAATTGTAGCGCATCAATAAATTCACTGTTGGGAACATTCTCCATGCTGTATTTGCTTCCAGAAAATTTGCACAGAAAGTGTTCGACAAATTGACTGAATGAATGACAAGAAAATGGGAAGTATGGATATTTTAAAACTTTCCCTCCTGGGCTGCGGCTACCCAGCATTCAATTTCTTGGCAGGCTAACGTGGACAATCAACAATTGTTAGATCTTTATTAATATTTAATTAAATAATATTAAAAATTATTCAGTATACGTAAACGCATTAAAACGTAAAAATCATATATATATGAAAACTTAATTGAATACAATCCAAAATACTAAAGAAATACGTAATACAACCTACTCTATAACTGTTATCTTAGACAACTGCATTCTACGAGATCTCATGTTTTGAAAACGTTGTAATATTACTTCATTCTCAATTTTTTCAAAAATCTCTTTCTCCACGTACACCACCAAATTGTCATTCAATCAGTTGTCTCCCATTTTGTTGCGTAAGTCACTCTTGATTAGATTCATAGCAGATAATACTCTTTCAACACTTGTAGTTGCCACATGTAATATCAAAACAAATGAGATCAGCCTATAAACCAATGAAAAATAAAAGAGCTTTTTTGTTTCAACCAACTTCTGAGCCACACAAGAAATGCTATTGAGATTAAAGAATGCTTCATTCATTCTCACAAACATAAGGAACTTGTTAAGTTGAGGTCGAAATAATAAAAACTCTTCATTATTGAAGTCCAAATGATACAATTGAGCAAGATGTAGCAATTTATCCTTATCAAAAGCTGCAAAGGAATCTCTTGGATTTAAACACGAAATGCAAGTTAGGAGCTCAGTAGTTGTCTCGGAAAAAGGATCATTCAACTCTTGCAAGATTAAGTATATCACATGATAATACAATTCAACATAAAAGCGATGATAATAAGTCGCCTGCTAAGTTCCATGCCTCGATCGATCTTTCAATACTACAATATTCTTCATATTGGGCACAAAAATATGCCTAACAACACAAAACTCAATCACTCTGCTCAACAAATTATCCCAATCATTGTCTTTCATGTTTTCCAATGCATACTTACACAAATTTAATAACCCAATAGTGTTCTGAATATCATGATCCTTTTTCTGTAAGGCTTGTGAAATGTCGTCTATAATTGCTAAAATTTCAAGCATGAAGTGGAGACTGAACACAACCTCGAAGTCCTGCATAGTGTCCATGTGTCTTGCGGCCATTGATTTCTACTCTAAATTTACGTCATCTTCTGATATATGCTCAAGAACATTTATGATAGTATTAAACATATTAATAACACGAGTAATTGTTAATAGGTGTGAGCCCCGTCTAGTATTACTTGGGCGTGCCAAACTCATTTCTTGAAACTTACCACTTCTATCACAAGTTCCCCAATATTAAGTTTCTCCAAAATATCGGTATGGTAACTTGTTCGAAGAGCATCTATACGCTTACTTGATGCACCCACCAAAT